AAATGAATATTAATTTGTAAAAACATTTAAAACAAAACTTGAAATCAAACAAAAGATTTAGCTCCAGCTAAACTGGATTAATCACTTTATGGAATTTCCCTTTTACACTTGAACATTTATAGCATATATTCTAATTTAAAATAATTGCTGCATTCTTCAAATGCACTCAATAAACTTTTAAAAACATTTTGAATTGGAAGACACTATCAAACTCTGCTCGCCCTGCAGTGAGCAGCAGCTGCAAGGCCAGAGCTATAGACAAAACAAAACTCACAAAACTCGCAGCTTTTAGACTGTAAATTGGGTCACAGTTTAACTTAATAATACTTTTACAGCTATCCTGTTCTATTCCTAATTCCCTCTTTCTTTTTAGACGAAGTCTACAATCATTAATCACTTTTAACAGATTCTAATTTAAATGTTTAAAAAACGGCTTTTGTAACTAAAATAAAAACATAAAAAAATTCTCACTAACAGCTATGAAATATCAGATACAATAATGGACTCACAAAATAAGCAGCAGATTTAAAAGAATGGAATCTAGAAATATGTTAGGTCTAAAAAGAATTGCACAGCTTTTAGCACTAATATTTGGGTTTCAAAAAACATATAATATTCAAAACTTATATTTACTAATGGTGTTTAAAAACGTTTAACTGTGTCATAACACAATGTTCAAATGGCAAATTTCGCAAATTTAACGGAATAACAACTATGAAAAGCCTAAATCCTAAAAGCAGTAGCTTTGCTTCAGATTCAGAGCCAGAGCAGCGAAGGAGGGGGCCGTTTCCCTGACAACGACGCGACGCACACACACAGGCAAAAAGATACAGAAGAATAACTTTCAAGATTACTTTGTTAAGCGAATATAACTGATGTTGTTCTTTATACTTTTGTCATCCAAATCTAGAAGTGATCACTTTCCACACTAGTAACAAAAGGCACTCTTGTCTTTAACGTTTACGCTTCTATTTTATCAAGGTAGCAAACTAATTTAAACTTAAAATCTCTTTCTAAAAAACAAAAACAACTGTTGGATACAACCCTCTCATAGCTCAACTGTAGATAAAACTCGGCAAAAAATGTAAATAACTCACGAAAGCTCTCATAGCTCAACTTTAGATAAAACTCTGCATTCTCCGGTGAACTCTGTTCACGCCGAAAACAAAAACTCCCTTTTTCTGTATGTAATTTAAACCGTGATCACTGAAATATTGTTGCTTCTTTACTTTTGTCATTTATCAGCCTGAAATTCGTCAATTTCAAAGCTTTTGTAACAAAGGCCTCCTTAACACGTTTCCCTTTTTATAATTACTTTTAATTTTACACTTTTGGATCCAACACTTTTCTCTGGCTAGCAAGGGGCCTCTACCCCGGTAATTACTCAAAAAAGGGCCTCTACCCTGTAATTACTCTTTTTCTCAAGGGGCCTCTACCCCGGTAATTACTCTAAAAAGGGCCTCTACCCTGTAATTACTCTTTCTCTGCCCTGACTACTTCAAAGGACAGGGACCCCGATACGTCAAGGGGTTCCTTTTTCCTATAGGGACTGGTTACCCACACAGCTAACCTGTTTTCTACAACATAAGACATGACAAAGACGTGACAAAGACAAAACAAAGAAAATTTGATTTAGAGAGACTTGGACAGACCTCCGGGACAGCTCAAAATTTAGCTAGTATCCAATTATGCAGACTTTACATATTAAAAAAGGTCTCTGCTTACCTTATTTTCTTTGTCCGGACTGTCCGAGAGGTCTGCCAACATCTTTTCCGCGTCAAAAAATTCAATTTAAACACAAAACAGAGAAAGTGAGGGAGCAAGAGCAAGCCCATCCAAAAGCGAGCCCTTTCAGCGTCCACTGGGATTTCTCCCCTTCCAGATAACGTGCTGTTGCTCCCACACGCCGAAAAAAAGAAACAGAGGAAATTCCCTCAAAACAATCCAGAGAATGGCACAAACCGAGCCGCGCATTCTCCACCAAATCTGTCAGGATTCAAGCAGACAGAGACGGATCGTGGTGTGCCAAACTCTGGAAGTTTATTTAAGTTTCTCTCAAGTTCCACTGGTTTACTCTGTTTCTTTCTCTCAGACAGAATAAAGGCAGTACACAGTTTATATAGTCATTGTCACGTCACACATCGAAAGACATACGTGTCACAAAGAGACAGTCACATCATAGTCATAACATGGAGTCCTTGTAGAGTCCTTGTAGAGTCCTGCACGTAGGCCATATTGCTATCTAATACTAATACTATGTCTATTTCTGACTCTGGGATCATAATTGACCCAGGACTGAGGCTGGGTCAATTATGCTCAAAAACCATGAACATGTTCGCTGACATGTTTGCAATCTGACTCCTGGAGGGGGTGGACCTGGAAAGAGAATTATCCAATGCTTTAACATGCCGCCTTGATTCCTCTCAAAAACTACTTTACAGGATGGTCCAAAAGTTCAGCTTTTGGCCTAACGTTACGAGACCCCAGAGAGAGGGACCCCGGAGAGAGGGACCCCAGAGAGAGACCCCAGAGAAAGACCCCAGAGAGACCAGAGAAAGACCACAGAGTAACACCACTGAGTGAGACCACTGAGTGAGACCACTGAGTGAGACCACTGAGTGAGACCACTGAGTGAGACCACTGAGTGAGACCACTGAGTGAGACCACTGAGTGAGACCAGATATTTAGCCACTGTGGACTTTTGGAGGCACTAGTTAAATGAATGGGGCTCATGCCGACTAACACATGCACCAATGCGTTTTTTCACATCTTCCTGCCTGGCCATTTTGAAAAAACCCACAGAAGGCAAAAGTGATGACACATTAGTTTCAACGGCAGAGATAGGCTTGACTACCTCCGTTAATATTTACAGTCTATGCTGTAGACCCAGGACTGAGACTGTAGATCCAGCCAAGTGCTGTCCTCCGCATTAGGATTTTTAAATCTGATGGACCTGTGTGTCTGCCATGGTGTCTGCTCCATGGTGTTTGACCCATGGTATGTTCATGGTGTGTGGATGTTATGTTGATGGCTTGTGGATGGTACACCTACACAGACACAGGCAGAACATGCAAAGTGCAGTCAGAAACAGGGTTCCACACTGAGGTCTTCCTGCCGCTGTCTGTGAAATTAAACCTGATGCTAAATACAAATTTTGTATTTAGTCATTTCACACCTGAGAATAAACCTTTTCCAACAATAGCAACCCGTCACATAGAGCCCTATGTCCTCGATCCAGAATCAGACCTTAATCATTTAGTTAACAGTGACATACGGTGAGTTAGCATCACTGTACTGATGGCTCCTGTTAGCGTCTTTCATGTTGGAAACAACTCCAGATCAGCTTTTGAGTAGGTCGTGTTTCAAGGTACTGTAACTATTGTTCTGGATCAGTCTTTGGTGGTGTCAACGTCACTCTCAAAAAAAAAAAACGGCGCAGATGTCAGACTTGCTTGTGAACAAAGTTGATTCCCATTCTCCTTCTTTGGGCCAAATACTCTCGTCACATATTTACACCAACAACACATTTTCTCCAAGTTGACATGAAGCTAACACAGAAAAGCACAGACGCTTATTTACAATCTATGGACCACACGCTGAACTCGGAGAGAGGCTGCATGGGCTGACCATAATTGGTGCTGATTCGCTGGTTCAGTCTCTCCCCGCTGTCAATCACCTCTTGGAGGAGGGCTTTTGGCGTCACGGATTGGTGCACGTCACGATTTTAGCTGTTTCTATGCCTCTCGAGAATGAAAGAGAAAGATCACTCTCTATCTAGAGCTTGAGGGAATCAATGAAAAAACTATTCTGGGCATGTGTAGGAAGCCCAAATAGGACTGTAATCATGTCTAAACCAGAACATTTTTAAAATGTGTTTATAGGCACCTTTAAAAGGGATAAGAGATAGATGTTTTCTGTAAATTAGAGAAGTATTAAGAATGGCCCAAATTTTCTGTAGGGACTAATTCACTTTTGACTTTACCAATCTAATTTGCATATAAGATAGCTAGATACATAGATAGATATAGATACTTTATTGATAGGAGAATTTCAGGTGTCCAGTAGCGGCAAAAACACACACATTCATACAAACAAAACAAATGAATAGATCATTCTAAAAAAAAAAAAGCTAACATTAGCATTATCAGTAAAATAGCTAGCGTAAAAATGCAACAGCACTTTCGGTCACAGCTGCAAAGGTGGAGCAGCTTGGTTCAGACCACTTTCTAATCCAAAGTGAGATGCTCAATCAGCACTGGTCATCACAGCGGAGCTAGAGATCGGAGCTAGAGCAGCGTTAGAGCAAGAAAAAACCTGCAGAGTTTGTTGCATTAAAGTGTGAATTTATAGAAAACTGACTGAAGGATTTAACAAGAAAAAAAGTTCAGGATGACAAGGGACTCTAAAATCCCAACAAAATCCGACATTTATGAAAGCTGTAGGTTCTCTGTCAGCGGAGCTGAGCTGTTTCAGTTTACATTGAGTTCTAAGGGATATTTTTCTGGGTTGCCCACATGAATTTAGTCAGCATTACACAGGGGGTGCCCGCTGTGGGGATTTTAGCATCAGGTTTAATTTCACAAACAGCGGCAGGAAGACCTTAGTGTGGAACCCTGTTTCTGCAGTTTGCATGTTCTGCCTGTGTCTGTGTAGGTGCCCCACCCTGTGCCCTTGGGTGGTACAGCTATAACCTTGTAATACCAAATGCAAATACTATTATAGATCCATGGTTCAACTATGCTCATTTATGACGCATTACGGTTTTTTGGGCCGGGGGTCTGACATGTCTGCCAACTGGACAGACATAAGGTTTGAATGCATTTTGACTCCCTGTTTGACACAATTGGTCGTTTTAAACAGTACAGACTTAAGTCGACCGTGGCTCTTAGAGGGTTTATACATGAAGAGAGATACAGATACATGTATGAGAGACCATGTGTGATCATAAACACCAGTGAAGGACCATGCGTGACCATAAAGACCATGTCATGTGTCTGCAGATGGACCCACTGCAGAAGGCTATGATGTCACATACGTTCGGACCTCTGCTCAGAACCAAGCGGCCGGTGATCTCCTGCAACATTTGTCAGATACGGTTCAACTCAGAGGTAACTCCACCCTCAGGGACTGAGCACAGGGACTGTGCAGTGGGTCTGAGGTTCAGCGTCTAATAGTGTCATTCTGAATATAGCTACACTGGTCTCTCGCTCTAAAGCAGAGAACCCAACTTATTGCTCGGTGCGAATGAGGCTCCATTCAATGTATTTGTGTTTAGTCCAAAATTACAGCAGCAGTTGTCCCACAAGACTTCGATCCCACAAGATCGATTTGCCAACAACAGATCAGAGGATCAAACTGAGGCTGTAGATCCAGAACTGAGGCTGTATCCACATGTAGCAGTAGTTAAAAATACACTTGTCAGTGATATACAACATGTGTATCAGTTCCTGCCTGTGTGATATTTTTCCACTGTTATGAATGGTGCGTTGAGCCCCAGAGGACGTGAGATTCCAACTCTAATCACCAACACTCCGTCAGAGTTTATTAAAGATCATGTTAGAGGTGGTGTCTGTTGAAAGTTTGAGCTCGGAAGATAAACTCGATCTTGTTCCTAACACCCTGCTGACGTGTGGAAGTCTCTGAGCCACGGGACACACTAAGGACAAGAGTGGGGGGCTGAGAGAGGTGAGGGGTGGGAGTAACTTCAGAGAGAAAATGCATTGATTCATAACAGCCGGTTGTGTGTTTTTAGTAAAAGTAATAATTCATCTTGTCCTTGAGTGAAAGGTTTGCGTATTTAATTAAAAAAAAAAAATCTGATAAAGCACTGTCTGTCTCTCTCTGCTCTCTCTCTGGTCCCTCCCTGGTCTCCGTCTCTCTTAGATGGAGACAATGCAGAGACGCTGCAAAGTAATTAGCCAAAACGACCAGGCTCCTTATTGCACAGTAGTGCACAGTATAGCAATGGAACACGTGTGACCCTTCAGCAGTAGAATCATTTCAGAAACAAGATCCTCCTCAAGCCACTGCAAAGACGGGAGAAAATTTTACCTACGTAATTTTGCATTAAATGGTAGCTGCGAAAATGGAAACTGAAACTTGAAGTTTGCATGGTTTCGTTTGGACGAACAAATCATACATAGCATTAGTTGACCACCGTCATTGTTGTTTAAGTTTTTTTGTGCAAGGAAGTGGTGAGGTCATTGCAGCTCTAGAATTCACAACTTTTTCTCACACTGCTGTGAAACTATCTGTTCTGTTCCACTCTGTAGGCTGTTTCTCAACACTTGCGTTTTCACCCCCCTGAAACACTGTCTTCATGTAAACAAAAGGCCAAACCCAACTCTAACGTTTTATTGTTGCAGGGTCCTTGTGTAAACAGCACATCACTCACCTATCTCTGTGGCTTTATAGTTAAAACATCAAAGCTCGTTTCTGCTCAGAGAGAGGAGGACGGGGACTGGAGAGAAATGGCAAAATGACAGAAAAAACTTAAAATCTAAAACTGCAGCAGAGGCCATTTCTTCTTCCTAATAATAATAATAAGGATAATGATAATAATAATAATAATGCATCAGTGTCATATTATGTTGAGTTGACACACGGTGAGGGACCACTGTAAGGCCGCGTCTATACAGTAAAAGGTTAGAGTTGGGTATCGGTTTGGCCTCCTGTTTACATAGAGAATGTGTTTCAGGGGGGTTTAGAAACTGCCTCCTGCGTGGAACAGAACAGATACCAGATACAGTATCTTTTTCTTCACCGTGTGAAGAAAAAGGTGTGAATTCTCTGCCTGCTATGACCTCTACTTTCCTGCACGTACATTTGGACACGCGCAGTAGCTAAGAACAAACATTTCTGTTCTACTACTACTGCTACTGTTAAATGCAGAATGATGTTGGTGCTTTCTTTCACGTCTTTGCTGTGACTTGAGAAGGATTATGTTGAGGAAATGGTTAACACTGCAGGGGTTGTGTGTGTTATGTTTTAAAGTTCCACTGCCCACTACTGGCCGGGCGCTAAAACTACATTGTTTTCTGTAAAAGCAAAGGAAGGTTTCTCACCCATCATCTGTACTTCTTAGCAAGTTTTCCCGACGTTTTGTCCTCAATCCTAAAGACTTCTTCAGGGAATGAATTCTCAGACCGCGCGTTGGAGATTTATAACCTCTAATCCTGATACTAACTCATAAACAATCTAAGGTCTGTTTGATGTAGAAGGGAGCAGGTCTAACGACCCTGCTGAGGCTAACGACCCTAGCTCATTAGCATGTCACTGACCTTGTCCCAAGTTAGGGCGTTGTTTTGAGGATGTCGTCATAGATGCGAGGCAAAACAAATCTTAACCCTCCTCCTCTGTTAAGAGAAGGTTTTTGTTTCCTCACAAAAATGGCTTCTTTCACTCCTCTCTCAAACCAATTCTTCTCCCGAGCCAGAATTTTAACCTCTGTGTCATCCACCGTGTGGTTGGAGGCCTTGAGGTGGAGATGAACAGCCGACTGTGGCCCACTAGAGTTTTCTCTACGATGTTGGTAAAGTCGTTTCTGTAGAGTTTGTTTAGTTTCTCCAATATAGTGGTCAGTGCACTCCTCTTCACTACATTTAATTGAATACACCACATTGCTCTGTTTGTGTCTGGGTGTTTTGTCTTTAGGATGCACTCATTTCTGTCTTACCGTGTTGAAAGGTTTGAAATACACAGGGATTTTGTGTTGCCTAAAGATTCTTTGTAGTTTCTCTGAAACTCCCACCACATACGGTAAGGACACCCCTCTCCTCCTACTTTCTTCTGTCTGTTGGACTGTGTCTCTGGCCTTTCTCGTCCTTTGGGCTTTATTAAAAGACCACTTGGGGTAGCCACATCTGGAAAGTGCTCTCTGAACATGTTTGGTTTCTCTGTTCTTTCCTTCCGAGCTTGTGGGGACCTGGTGGGCTCGGTGTTGAAGCGTTCTAATGACCCCGAGTTTGTGTTGTAGCGGATGATTTGAATCAAAGGCCAAGTACCTGTCAGTGTGAGTGGACTTTCTGAAGACCTCAGTCTCTAATTGTCCGTTTTCAAGGATGATGACCTTACAATCTAGAAAGGCGAGTTCACTCTCCTTAGCACTGGGGACTGGGACTGAGGAGCCCATCTCCCAGTCTCTCCAACAGTGGCCAATCTGTATATGGAGAAACTGGAGGAACAAGCCCTGGGCTCTTACCAAGGGACAGCGCCAAGCCATTGTTTTCGATATGTAGACGATACATGGGTTAAGTTAAAGAAACAGGAAGTGGAACCATTTTCATTAATTCGGTGAACCCATTTATAAATTTAACTCGTGAGGATGCTAAGGAGAGTGAACTCGCCTTTCTAGATTGTAAGGTCATCATCCTTGAGATCGGACAATTAGAGACTGAGGTCTTCAGAAAGTCCACTCACACTGACAGGTACTTGGCCTTTGATTCAAATCATCCGCTACCACACAAACTCGGGGTCATTAGAACGCTTCAACACCGAGCCCACCAGGTCCCCACAAGCTCGGAGGGAAAGAACAGAGAAACCAAACATGTTCAGAGAGCACTTTCCAGATGTGGCTACCCCAAGTGGTCTTTTAATAAAGCCCAAAGGACGAGAAAGGCCAGAGACACAGTCCAACAGACAGAAGAAAGTAGGAGGAGAGGGGTGTCCTTACCGTATGTGGTGGGAGTTTCAGAGAAACTACAAAGAATCTTTAGGCAACACAAAAATCCCTGTGTATTTCAAACCTTTCAACACGTTAAGACAGAAATGAGTGCATCCTAAAGACAAAACACCCAGACACAAACAGAGCAATGTGGTGTATTCAATTAAATGTAGTGAAGAGGAGTGCACTGACCACTATATTGGAGAAACCAAACAAACTCTACAGAAACGACTTTACCAACATCGTAGAGAAAACTTTAGTGGGCCACAGTCGGCTGTTCATCTCCACCTCAAGGCCTCCAACCACACGGTGGATGACACAGAGGTTAAAATTCTGGCTCGGGAGAAGAATTTGGTTTGAGAGAGGGGTGAAAGAAGCCATTTTTGTGAGGAAACAAAAACCTTCTCTTAACAGAGGAGGAGGGTTAAGATTTGTTTTGCCTCGCATCTATGACGACATCCTAAAAACAACGCCCTAACTTGGGACAAGGTCAGTGACATGCTAATGAGTTAGGGTCGTTAGCCTCAGCAGGGTCGTTAGACCTGCTCCCTTCTACATCAAACAGATCTTAGATTGTTTATGAGTTAGTATCAGGATTAGGGTGTGGCTAACCACACCCATAGGTTATAAATCTCCAACGCGCGGTCTGAGAATTCATTCCCTGAAGAAGTCCTTAGGATTGAGGACGAAACGTCGGGAAAACTTGCTAAGAAGTACAGATGATGGGTGAGAAACCTTCCTTTGCTTTGACTAATCCCTGTACGACTGAGAGCTTACACAAACTTATTGTTTTCTGTAGTCATTTTAACGCTGTTTGGGAGCCTAGTCGTTTTTGCTCATTGCTTTGCAGCATCTCCGCAGCGTCTTTGTCTAAATGGGGCCTAAGTCTACAGATTTCTGCAGATGTGACCAGCAGATGGACTTGGCCTCCTCCTAGGACTCTGAGGAGCACAGAGACTGGCAGTAGTGGTTGTAGTAGCAGTAGTAGTCATTGTAGCAGTAGTAGTAGTAGAAGTAGTAGTAGTAGAAGTAGTAGTAGTAGTAGTAGCATCAGCAGCAGCAGTAGTAGTAGTAGCAATAATAGCTGTAGTAGTAGTAGTAGTAGTAGTAGCATCAGCAGCAGTAGTAGTAGTAGTGGCAATAATAGCTGGTGTAGTAGTAGTAGCAGCAGTGATTGTGTTTCATTGGCACATGTGTTTCTGTCATCACCAATAAACACAGCTATATGGGTCTCACTCAATACACTGGATACACTGACTGTCTCCTGAGACCGAGGCAGAGACTGGAGCAGAGACTGGAGCAGAGACTGGAGCAGAGACTGGAGCAGAGACTGGAGCAGAGACTGGAAAAGAGACTGGAGCAGAGACTGGAAAAGAGACTGGAGCAGAGACTGGAGCAGAGACTGGAGCAGAGACTGGAGCAGAGACTGGAAAAGAGACTGGAGCAGAGATTGGAAAAGAGACTGGAGCAGAGACTGGAGCAGAGACTGGAGCAGAGACTGGAAAAGAGACTGGAGCAGAGATTGGAAAAGAGACTGGAGCAGAGACTGGAGCAGAGATTGGAAAAGAGACTGGAGCAGAGACTGGAGCAGAGACTGGAGCAGAGACTGGAAAAGAGACTGGACTGGAAAAGAAACTGGAGCAGAGACTGGAGCAGAGATTGGAAAAGAGACTGGAGCAGAGACTGGAGCAGTGTGGGGACAGAGCTCACAGTTTGGTCTCTGTGTGTTCTTTGCGTGTGTCTCTGTGTGTTCTCTGTGTGTCTATGTGTCTCTCTGTGTGTCTGATTTAATATATCCTCACATCAATGAAAACAAGGAAACTAAAGCTGGAATTCCATTATTTGCCAAACACACACACATGCAGACACACACCCACACACACATACACATCTAGACAGAGATTTTCTGTTGTTGGCAAATCCACAACTTTATACAGTCCTCAGAGATGACTGCTGCTGTGATTTAGGGCAAGACACAAATAAACTGATTTTGTATGATTTCTGTAGCTGCTTGTGTTAGCCATGGTCTTGTTTTGGGGTACCCTGTATGAAGTGTGCTATACAAATTAACTTGCCTTGCATTTCACAAAGATTTCAAACTATCTTAGTAATTTGAAACGGTTTAGTATTTAATTCAATTCTCTTTCTGTACAAAACTCCAACACAGGAAGCTGCGTTAGCATAAAGGCCAATGTTAGCATTCGCTTACAGATTTCTGTAATGGTTAGGGTTCTGTGGACTTGGGTTCTGTGATGGAGGTGGGTTCTGATTGGTGGAGGTGGGTTTTGTGGTCTTGGATGAAGCTGGATTCTGATTTGTTGTGTGCAGAGTCAAGCTGAGGCGCATTACAAAGGGAACCGTCATGCACGCCGTGTCAAAGGCATCGAGACGAAGAGCTCTCAGAACCCTAACCCTGAGTGGCGAGCAGCGAGCCCGGACTCAGACAGACACGGTGAGTTTAGCACAGAGGTCAAATGGTACAGGTCATCTGCCCCTTGTAAGCCAATGGCTCTGTGTTTGATCAGTTCATTCTCTGATCTGCTTTGGAGAATCGACAACTTTGTAAAATCGTTCAAGATAATTTCTGATGTGATTTAGGCCCTGTCCACACGAAGTCAAGCTCAGGCCTAAACGTAAAAATACTTTATCAATCCAGTGTATCGTCCATACGAGGCCGGCGTTTTGGGGGGGTGTAAACGAACATTTTTGAAAGTAGGTCCCAGAGTGGAAAGATTTCAAAACTCCGTATATGCCGCTCCGTGGTTACTGCCTCTCCGCAATGTATCTGAGACGCTTGCGTCATTGCCCCGCCTCTTGTTAAAGCACGCATGCGCCGCACTCAGAAAATAATGACAACAACAATGTAGCTTGTTGGTTTTGTAATCCAGTGCGACCCGAAGCAACAGTTCAACCTCATCGTCCGTCCATACTAATGTAGTACCAGCTCGCCCACTCACCATGTTGTCTGTTTACAAAATTCTGCGCATGCCCAGTTCCCGTCACGGAAGTTTGGGCTTGATCCCGTCATTGCGTCACAGCGCCACCAACAGGTCTGGCATAGTTTCACAGCGTTTTCAGGCGTATTGACTACATTCATATGGACGCACACATTTACTGAGCTAACTCCGTGTTTACAGAAAAAGTTTCTGAAATTATAAGCGTTTTGTCTTCGTGTGGATATAGCCTTAGGGTAATATAAAAATACATTGAATTGAAACATAGGAGACACTAGTGCATACAGTAGCTGACTCAGACACATTTCACACTTGCTGAATGCCCTGGTGGCCGCAGCTGCCTTGGTGGCCGCAGCTGCCCCGGAGACTGCAACTGCCCTGTCTTTTGATCCTCATTTTTTTCCACAGATGACAGTCAGTGCTCCCCCAGCTCCACTCCTCCTTTCAGCCCTTCAGACTCAGACCTCCCTGCCTCTCCCCCCTCTCCGGCCCTCGCTGTGACCCCTGTGGACCCCTCCACGGCCCTTGCCTCCTCCTCTGCAGAGTCTGAGGAGGAGAAGACCAAGAAGCTGCTCTACTGCACTCTCTGCAAAGTGGCCGTGAACTCACTGTCTCAGCTCGAGGCACACAACAAAGGTTTGATCTGTTTTATTATTATTGTCATTATTATGAAAATAATGATTAAAATAGTTATCATTATTATAATTTTCACTGCAATAATAATAATAATAATAATAATAATAGTAATAATAATAATAATTATTATTATTATTATTATTATTATTTTATGGTGACATATACGATTTTTTAGAATAATTACATTATGGTGAGATGGGAGGATTTTATTGTAATGAATTAAACTATTTCATAAATTGCAGTAAAAATCTAAATCATCAAAGAAAGGTCACTGCTTCATTAGAGCAACACTTCTCCCTACAGGAGGCACAAGGAACTGCTCAGGAAACAACTCCTTTGTTGAGTTTAGATGTGAGACTCTTAACTCTGATTGTGATGTTATTGTCACCAGGAGAGGGCGTTGTACACAAACCCTTCTACACCTTGTACCCTTTCTTTTACACTGATGCTGTGGATCCAGGACTGAGGCTGTAGACCCAGGACTGATGCTGTGGATCCAGGACTGAGGCTGTAGACCCAGGACTGATGCTGTGGATCCAGGACTGAGGCTGTAGACCCAGGACTGAGGCTGTAGATCCAGGACTGAGGCTGTAGATCCAGGACTGAGGCTGTAGACCCAGGACTGAGGCTGTAGATCCAGGACTGAGGCTGTAAATCCAGGCTGGGGGAGACCAGTTCCCAGATGCAGATAACAGTGGGGCAGTGGGTGAACAGCAGCAGTAGAGGACTTTGAGGGAACTGTGTGATGTCATTGGTTTTCAGATTCACCGTCCATGTTTCCCTCTCAGACAATTACAATATAATAAAATGTATTCTTGTGTAGGCCTATATCACAACAGCAGTAAGTAGTCAGAGGCGTTAACAAAACCATTGAAATCTCCAACACACATCAGAGAATCAACAGTTAAGAAACAAAAATATAGAACACGAATGAATGTTGATAAATGTCCATACAAGTTGTAGAATGTTAAAGTGTCCGACTCCTGAATCATCACCACAGTCCTTCTTGTTAGACACTAACTGTCCAACAGACCCTCCTGCATCGGCAAGACCTTAACCTCCTTCTGTTTGCTGCAGGAACCAAACACAAGACAATCCTAGAAGCTCGCCGCGGCCAGGGACCCATCAAAGCCTATCCCCGGCTCTGTCCCTGGACCGGTCCAGACCACGACTTGGGTTCAGACCCAAATTCTCAGGAACGCACCTTTCACTGTGAGATCTGCAACGTCAGAGTCAACTCAGAGATGCAGCTCAAACAGGTGAAAACAGCAGAAAGTTATGTATATGTAATCTACAAACCACTCAGATGGTTTCTCTTCCTGAAGATGCTTAGGAAGATGCTCCCCTGGTATCCAAGATCTGTCTCATTGGTGCATGCTATAAGTTAGCTGCTCCCCCTTAGCTAGCTGCTAGTCCAACTACAGCCCATCCCCCATAGTGGGACGTGTTTAATGCACAAAAGTTATGGAACATTCAACAAAACGTTTGTAATCTCAAAGACAACAAAAACATCCATCCACAAATTTTGATTTAGAGAAAGCTGTAGTTTACCAATCATTGCTGTTGTAAGTAATAGGAAGTTACAAACAGGAAGTCACAAACAGCGAAGCACGCGCCATTCTTTTTTTTGTTGAGGTTTGAGGTTGATGGGAAAAGATCAACAAGACCGTTTTGGCGGCAGTAGCTTCAGTACAGTGGTCTTCGAGCACTGGAGAGAAAATGAAGGTCGTATAAAAGAACCCTATACAAATTATATAACAAATATATATTTTAGAATATTATTTTAGAAAACTCAATCCCGATTAGCCCTTTGGTTGCTATCAGGTTGCTATGAAAGGATTTGGCTCAAAATGTCCATATTTTATTGTGTGTGAAGGCATCAGACTCAGACTTTTCTGTCTTTCAGCACATTTCCAGTCGGAGACATCGGGATGGAGTCGCAGGAAAACCCAACCCTCTCCTGAACCGCCACAAGAAGCCCACAGACTTTATGGTAATTTATCTTTTTTTCCTCAAAAGTAATAATAGTGCAATTCAATTAGGCCTGTTGTGATATTCAATAAATCAATTAATTGTATGATAATTAAAATTTGACGCGGTAATTCTTCTGGCCGCGATAAATGCCATTTGCATGCTTGTTTGTTTTTGTCGTCTCTCTCTGTCCCCCTCTCTCTCGGGTCAGAGAGCCAGCGTGTTCTCCGATGCGGAAGTACCGTTTAATAATAAAATAAATGTATGGCGCACCTCCGTGAACACATACTACTGTTATATAAAGTCTCTGGAAGGTCTCAGGACACAGAGACGCTGCAGAGCTGCATTATTGGAGAAGAACTTTACACAAAAAGCCGCTAGCTTAACTCCGTTAGCATCAAAGCCCGCCCACTACATCCGCCACTTCTGGCGGGCGACACGGCAGGCCAGGACTTCGGGTCTGAACCATAGACTGTAAATAATAAGGTCTGAACACCCCGAGCATCTGAAATGAGAGAATGTGCGTCTAGTGCGCGCGGAAGCTGCGTTCCAGCGTCAGCGGTCTGACATTTCAAAGCTACATAAATATAATAATGCAATATCCCACTAGTGTCTGTTCTCAAGAGAAACATATTACACCGATGCTAACTGACCAAATCCTCCCTCTGCTCCTCTCTCCCCTCACTCTACTTCACCCTCTGCTCCTCTCTCCCCTCACTCTACTTCACCCTCTGCTCCTCTCTCCCCTCTCTCTCTACTTCACCCTCTGCTCCTCTCTCTCCTTCACCCCTGCTCCTCTCTGCTCCTCTCCCCTCTCTCTACTTCACCCTCTGCTCCTCTCTCTACTTCACCCTCTGCTCCTCTCTCTACTTCACCCTCTGCTCCTCTCTCTCCTCTCCCCTCTCTCTACTTCACCCTCTACTCCTCTTGGTCCTCCCTCTACTGCTCCTCTCTCTGCTCCTCCCTCTGCTCCTCAGGAGGTGCCCACATCTCTCGGCCTCCTGCCTCCTCCTTTGGCCATGGCAGCAGCGATGGCTAGTCTCAGTCCTGCAACGCACCACCACCTCCTGCAAGGGGCGCCGCTGAGTCTGCTCCGACCTGCTCCAGGCCCTATCCGCAACACACATGGACCCATCCTCTTCTCTCCATACTGACACAAACACACTTCTCCACACACATCTCCACACACACACACACACACACACAGACAGACACCTGTCCACACTGAGACTGTACAGAGCGTGAGAAGCCCTGGATCCACTCTCCTCGGTCTTCAGTCCCCGGCCCTCGGCCCCCGGTGGTCTCTGTCTTCGGCCGTTTCAGGGATAAACTAATAACAACTTTTAAATACAGTACGTGGAGAGGCTTTCTTTCACTGCTTTCCTCCACGTCGTTGTGTGTTTGTTAGTTGTTAGGCTCCTCTTTTGTGAGTCTCTGGAGTGAGACTTTTGTTGTGAGGACATTTACAAACTTATACCATCCATAAACGTATACCACATGTTCATCAAAGAGTCCAATGCTAATGTTGCTATATGTGATGTCTGCAATGTGCATTTGACTCACCCGACACAAACGCACAAAGAAAACACAAATGTTCAACCCTGGCTTACAGATGAACGCTCTGGTTACATGTGGATGACGGATAAAAAACCGGAGAAATGTGTTTTATCAGAAACCTCGATATACTCGGGTCTGAGACAAGGCCAGCAGATGCATTCAAGAGCGCAGGGAATAGCTTATATTTAAAACTTACACATTTGGAAGCGTTCGACATGATCATTGCACTTAAGAACTTTCCCTTGTTTTGTTTCCGCTGTGTGAAGCAAAAGCAAATTCAATTCATGTTCTTCCACTTTATCCACTGCCGGGTCACGGGGGCGGCAGTCTGAGCAGTCCACACACACTTCCTCCATCACATCTGGTGGAATCCATATGCTGTAACTGTGCGAGTTAGAGGAGTATTCTCTATTCTAATGCTTTGTGAACATACTCAATGATGTCACATATGAAGGGGCAGAGAGCAGATCTATCTGGCAGGAGTGACAAGACTGTTTTATTTATGACATTGCTTTATATGAATATTGAGGTGTGTAACATGCTGATTGTGTAAGAATTAGCCAAAGCTGTAGGGACGTGTTGAGTTTAAAGCACTAGGTTTTCTTCAACATCGCAGGAAACGAGACTTTGGACGAGACTGGAACAGACTTCGGACGAGACTGGACGAGACTTCGGATGAGACTGGACGAGACTTTGGACGAGACTGGACGACACTTTGGACGACACTTTGGACAGGCCTTTGGGGCGCGACTTCGGCTTGACTTTGAATGAGACTTCAGACCATAGAAGGACAAATATAGCCATGAGCCCATTGTTAAATTATAAATAAATTATGACTTAAAGGAACAATATGTAAAAATCTGGCCAAAAGTGGTACTGCAGTCACAGTCAATATTTTGCAGTCCTCTCCCACTCTCCCTGACTCAGGTTGCCAGATTCACACCAAATCCAGCAGCAAACACAGGGAATTATTTTATCAGTTGTTTGTCTGTCTCCATTCACATTGCCATGACAGCCGTGCTAATGCTGAATGAATGTTTTGATTCATGTTTTTTTATTATTATTATTTGGACATTTGAGATAAAAAACAAAAACAAAATAAAAGCAATGTAATTATACATAGTTTATGCAAAATACATAAGCAATTGATGTCCAAAATAGGAGTGGGAAGAATGTATGTTGGAATGTATTTCTTCAGCGTATCAACATCAGGGTTTGCTCAAGAGGATATCACCTTTCAATTTGATTTATTCCCTATTTTTTAGACAAACATGTAAAAGTCCCACATCAAAAAGAGACTAACATTATTTTAATTGGGGTACATGTGGTCTTAAATGATTATTTTTACAATTAAGCTATAATCTGCAAAAAAACGTCTTGACCTTCGTCTTTTACCGTTTTTAGAGCAATCTGTCATAGAATGTGATAACATGCAATAAATACAAAAAGACATAGCCCGGAATCGAACCCGGGTTCTTGCATAGTAAGCGCACAGTTTTGACCACTAGACCACCGATTCACACAGTTAGTCACTGTGAAGAACGGACTTAAACTAGAAATTCTGCATCACACGTAAACTTTAATCAGCTGTCTCAATTCGGGCGTTCTGCTCTCCCAAAATTCCATCCAATGGGCGGGGGAGCGACTGAATTTTGCGTTGCATTATGGGTAACACTTGCCTTCGCAACTTCCGGTTCTCTCTGCCCGGCGCATTTTCTCTAAATGGTTGAGTGTTTTCGTCATTTTCTGTTGAATCCGGTTTTATCATGGGCTTCAAGTGTGCCGGCGCTAATTGTCGATCTAACAGCAATAAACACACACAGCCGTTTTCGTTCACTCTGCTCGCTGTCATCTTCTTCTAAATCTTCATAAACACCATCCGCTCGTTGAACTAGCAACAACAATTCCTCCTTTCGTTTTCCCACACTGCAAATACCCTTTCGCTTCAACCTTTTCACGCAATTCAGGCACTGTCAATCGTTTGTTGTTTTCGTGAGCCATATTCGCCATTGTATGAAATCAACCGGAAGTGAACTGGGCAACAAACGGTGTCATTTTTTGATCACAGCGCCGCTCAGTGGATGAAATTTTGGGAGAGCAGAACGCCCGAATTGTTCAAAGGCGTCCCGATATAAATCCTTCTTTTAGTCTTTGTTTTGTCATTAATGATTTGAGAGTCATACCAAGACCTTTTTTAGTTCTGCGGCCACATGTTATTTTACCTCTGAGATTAGTGAGCCGCGCAGAGTTCTGGCAACCCGATCACGGACTTACATGACACTTCCTGATTGGCAAAACGGCGGAGGGTAGGACATCAAAATCAAAACAATAACAACTTTTACGGGTCGTAAAACTAATTGTGATATTCAAATATCTCGGATGAACTACTGTTATCAGTTAAAGATGTGTTTGAAAAGAACATGATTTATTAATGCCTTTTGAAATATTTGGGTCATTTAATGATGACTTGACATGCAAATATTACATATTGCTCCTTTAATTAAAGATGCAGTCAATGATTTATTCAGACGCAATTTTTTTAATACTGTGGGTAATTGTTTCTAAATCCAAAATATATTTGTGACATGTTAGTCCCATACGAACCAAGTCGGACTCTGAGGAGCACAGGGACTGGACTCCTGTTAGGCTATATCCACACGAAGACAAAACGCTTATAATTTCAGAAACTTTTTCTGTAAACACGGAGTTAGCTCAGTAAATGTGTGCGTCCATATGAATGTAGTCAATACGCCTGAAAACGCTGTGAAACTATGCCAGACCTGTTGGTGGCGCTGTGACGCAATGACGGGATCAAGCCCAAACTTCCGTGGGCATGCGCGGAATTTTGTAAACAGACAACATGGCGAGTGGGCGAGCTGGTACTACATTAGTATGGACGGACGATGAGGTTGAACTGTTGCTTCGGGTCACACTGGATTACAAAACCAACAAGCTACATTGTTGTTGTCATTATTTTCTGAGTGCGGCGCATGCGTGCTTTAACAAGAGGCGGGGCGATGACGCAAGCGTCTCAGATACATTGTGGAGAGGCAGTAACCACGGAGCGGCATATACGGAGTTTTGAAATCTTTCCACTCTGGGACCTAGTTTCAAAAATTTTCGTTTACACCCCCCCAAAACGCCGGCCTCGTATGGACGATACACTGGATTGATAAAGTATTTTTGCGTTTAGGCCTGAGCTTGACTTCGTGTGGACAGGGCCTTAGTGCCCAGAGTCAGAACTAAACATGGGGAGCCTGCTTTTCAGATTCATGCTGCTAAAATCTGGAACAGTCTTCCTGAAAGTGTGAGACAGGCCTCCTCTCTGACAATGTTTAAAACCAGATTAAAGACAGTTCTGTTTAGCTGTGCATACAACTGAGGGATTTTATATTTTGTATCTCTCTTTTTAATGTTCTGTGATTATTTATGATTTTAATGCTTTCTTATTTTGTTCAGCACTTTGAATTGCCTTGTGTATGAATTGTGCTATATAAATAAACTTGCCTTGCCTAAATCCTAAAAGTAGTCAAGATATCATGTGTTTTCAAGAAGGAATGGACATGCCTGGAGATGCCTGTAATCGATGGAAAAAAACAATGGAATGCGTTCATCATGCATTTACATTTGACTGTGCTGGAAACAGCTGCAAGTCCTAAGTAGTGCTGGTGCTTTACAACTATTACTTTTCTTGCTTTGTTTTTACCTGAGATGTTGCTGCAGTACAGTGTTCATGGTTTTGCACTGGTCCAGACCGGAGCAGAGAGGATTCACTGACCGAACCAAGCTGATCAGGAAAATATCCACTGGAGGATTTTGAAGTTTTTGAGAAATGCTAACAAAGCATTCAGCATCTCACTGTGGACCAGAGCAGTGCCGTTGCATTTTAATACTATTATTAGCTATTTTTAGAACGATCTTTTTATTTGTTTTGTTTGTATGGATGGATGGATGTGTTTCTGCTGCTACTGAACACCTGAATTTATCCTATGGGGATCAATAAAGTATCTATCTATCCATCCCCCTCGAACCAATGAGATGCGTTCATTCCCCTTCCTATCATCCCTCTCCTGCTTTCCGTGTGTCAGAGTGTCAGCCTTTATAAAACATCTACAGTTGCTGAACGGGAGACCCCCAAAGTGCCATTTTCACGTGTGCAACCCACTCGCCCTTTTGTCACAAAGAAGAGAACATCAGATGAGGAAAAGGCGTTAAAACTCAGGACGCAACCAGGGCTATAATGCAAACAGCAGTAGAGTTTTGCTAATTGCTACTTTATTAGGGGATGCCAACACTTGTCAAGTGGAAGGCAAATCGCTCACCGACATGAGTCCTAATTTATTCTAATGCTTTCACATTTAAAGCTGGAAGTCATAACTACAGAGTCAGCGTTTCTGTGCTGGAAGTTGGGTTTGAGGGAGGGGGAGTGGTTTTGACTCCGTGCTATACTGCTATCATTTAGATTTACTACACCTTTAACCCACAGTTAGAATAAAATATTATACAAAAATGGCTGCTGCATCAAAAGACAGAAAAAGCTCAATACACTTTATGGAAAATAAATGACAGAATAAGTCCACCAGCTCTGCTTTGTTTC